CTATAACTGTGATTAACGCTTATTAATCGGGAAACGTAACTTATTTGACCAGGAACGTTTATGAATTTCGAGCATTACAAAGCATTTAACTTCAGTGGATTCACATCGGACATTGGTACTTTTACGAAAACATTACCTAACGTCACCGGTAGAAAAATCGGCGAAGAATACAGAGCTGGCTGGCTCCCTATTAAGTGAATTGTTTTGTTTTTGAATTTCGCGCAAAGCTACACGAGGACTATCTGCGCTAGCCGTCCCTAATTTAGCAGTGTAAGACTAGAGGGAAGGCAGCTAGTCATCACCACCCACCGCCAACTCTTGGGCTACTCTTTTACCAACGAATAGTGGGATTGACCGCAGATTATAACGCCCCTACGAGCATGTTTGGTGGGACGGGGATTCGAACCCGCGACCCTCAGATTGCGAGTCGAGCGCCTTATCCACCTGGCCATGCCGGGTGAATTGTATCTACATCAACTCGAAATTAACTCGCTCATCGTGAACCCTCGATAAAATATCAAGGAAGTTCCAGACTAGAAAGAAGACTTTATATTGCTTGTAAAACTATTGTATATAAATCATTGTTTGTAATAACGATTATTATAAATATATTTGTATAAAACAAAAACTGTGTGTGTATCAATCTTGTTGGGAAATATCATAAATTGCATACATATCGGCATTTATTTAACTACTAAATCTAAATTACAATTTAACTCAGTTTTAGGCTATTAGAAATTGTAATAAGTAACACCGTTTTTAACATTTTTTTTTTAAATTGCCATTTAAAATGAAAATAAATGGATAACCTTATCAAACAATGACTTGTTGGCTTAATTTTGAATTATAATTGAGCGAAAAACTGGTTCTTTACATTTCTTTCACTACCTGAAAGCACGACCAATGCTACTACCAGATGAATACTATTTGACTTCGCTTGAGGTCATCCAATGTGGCCACAGAATGCCATCATCTTGTGGTTAAAGATCAAACTAACTTCTTTTAACTACCTTACTATTGTGATATTGTTTCTTCAGTGTTACTGCTAATGATATATTCTAAATACTGTCCGAATCATTACCCGAGTTTACGACCTGTTGCGCTAATGTTTATATAAATCATACAATAGTCAATAAATTGAAATAAAAATGTTGATGGTTGTTTTATATGTAGTTAGTTGTTTTGAACTCAGTAGCCAAGATTGATTATCCATTGAATGACAAGTGACACAAAATTGTCCGTTGTATGAAATACAGCCAAGATATTCAATAAGGTGACTGTCATTATTTTTGAACTTAGCCTAAGCCAGTGTATCTTGATGACAAACATCAACTGATATTTCTGTAAAAGTGTTTTCAGTGTTTGAATTTCTCTAAAGAATCTTAACATTGCTCACAATGATTTTACCTTCTTGTGAGGGTCAGGGGTAGTTTAAACTGGTGATTTTGTGTCTATCTACCAAATGTGTGTTTTCTAGGTATATTCCAGACTTCATGTAACGCTCTTTCTGTGAAAAGGATAAAAAATTAAGTTAAAAAAAAAACATCGAAAGTTTTTGAGAATTGCACGTGAAATTACCATCTTCACTACGAATGTGCTGTAAGTTCAAATTCTGTGAGTATAACGTATAGTTTTAAATGAGTGTGGGACAATCATTGAAGAGTAAGCATGAATGAGAATCTGTAGAATTTTAAAGAACTGGAATGACCAGAGTGTTATTGTTAGCACTATTTCTATCTCAAGAAATGAATGATGGGTAACATCAGCTTTACAGCTTTCAGAAAGAAAGTTAATAATTTTTTTTGTTATTATCAAAATTATTCATAACCTCTGCACGCAGATGAATGACGTATCCTTGAAACTAAGAAACAGTTTGACGTCTGAGATAGCTAAACTATTTTAGTAGCACTGACATTTACTTGCATGTGTTATTTAAAAATATAAGTGTTGAGAATGTGTTAAAAATCTGTCTCCCATTGTGCTGCATTGGTTGATGGATTAAACATATCCTGATTATATTATGAAATATATCTGGAGATGTATAATATAGCTTTGTTTATTTGTTGTTCGGCACAAAGCTACACAATAGGCTATCTGGGCTATGGCCACTACGGGTAACGAAACCAGGTTTTTAAAGTTAGAAGTCTTCAGACTTACCGCTGAGCCACTGGGGGACTATAATATAACAAATAGTTGATTATGTTAAATAACAAATCCCATAGCGAGAGCAGAAAAGAGTTTAATGTTTTCGAGATATATCAATTTAATAAGGTGATGAGAACTGATGTACAGTTCTCAGGCGGTGCTGGTGTGAAATTTGTTATCAAATATGAGGAAATATTTCCATTTTACACTTCATACCACTGCCAGATAAAAAAAAAACCAAAATCACTGAACTAAAAAAGGTGTGAGTAACGATATTCCTACCATATACAGTTTCGCTTTAAACACAATAATCAATAGAGTATATCCACAAGTTTACATTCAATGTGTGTTTAGACCTGTACTTAGAATTCAGAATTTTTTCAAGTTTAAAAATCGAATCCACTTCTATCAGCAGTCACACGAATTATTCTGCCCAGTTGTAAGAACCCATGAGTGAAAGCAAAGGTGAATATGTCAACGACATCACATCTGCTATATCCAGTGCTGACAAGGCTTTTCACCTGATACTAAAGCTTGTCTGGTCAGCTGGATACAACAGACATTGTCGTGGTCTGGGTGCTATAATATATCATAAAGTTTCACGAACAGCCACTGTTATGGTGTGAATCAGATTAAGCAAGTGAATTGTTATTATTATAAAATGTATTAAATCATTTATAAATTAGATGTTTAAGGTAATTATTTAAAAAAATTAACACCAATTATTTCTTTGCTATAACTACTCTTTTTATTTCAGTTATAATGCACAATAACTGGTGAACCAGTAAGCTAATATTCTTGTTCTCGGAGGGGGTCAAGCAACTTCAGCGTCAACGGGAGAAAACTACATTTTTAATTCCAAAAACCCAAAGTGAAAGCAAAGGAGAATATGTTACGTGTGAGGGCGCCTATATCGGCTCGACTGTCAGATAAATGGGAGATCGTTTAAAAGAGCACCCTTGTACTAGGTTCGAGGTTCAAGGACAGTTCAAGCATTGTTCAAAACGTACTAATAAAGTACTCACTAAAGCTGGAAAAAAATCTATGCAACAGGTGAAGGAGACACATTTGCTTCTTCAAAACAAATAAATAAATAACTAAAAGCCGAATTTAAATAACCAATAAAGCGCCACTGAAAGTACTCGCATATTAGCCATTTCAATTTGATTTAAGACTTTCATACTCTATTGTGCAGTTTAGCTTAATTTTCTTTGGTAAAACAGATTTATACAAAATAACTCTTTGTTTAGTATATTTGAACATTCAACAATATAGTTAATTTTTATTAGATATATGAGTTTGAACTTTTGGCACTTAACGCAGTGTGTAATTATCAATAAGAAACTAATAATTTAGACATTTTTGATCAGTTTTTACCGACTGGAACGTTCGTGAAGAATGAAGCAATATCAGAACTAGTCAAACTTTATATCGAGTTCAACATCAGGATATTAGGAAACTGGAAAGTTTTAGCAGAAGACAGAATCAATAACAGAACTGGTCAGTAATTATATCCAGTTCAGCATCAGGATATCGGGAAATGGACAGTTTCAGCAGAAGAGAGAATCAATAACAGAACTGGTCAGTAATTATATCCATTTCAGCATCAGGATATCAGGAAATGGACAGTTTCAGCAGAAGAGAGAGTATCAATAACAGAACTGGTCAGTAATTATATCTAGTTCAGCATCAGGATATCAGGAAAATGGTAGGCTTCATGAGCAAAATATAAAAAAGTCTTTAGTTAGTTTAAAAAATTATTTGATCATAAAAAAACTTAAAAGTCGACAAAAACTTGTTAAGTTTATAAGCGTTGTATCTATATTGAATGTACATATATTAAACATAAATATATAAGTACACAAACTTCAAAGCAGAGCTATTAACATTTTATTCGTGATGTAATTACCAACTGTAACAAAGTCGAATGTTTTATCGGCTGCATCTACCCCGAATCTTGCGATGGACAACGTTTCGGTTTCCATGATAGGCCCACTGAAACCGAAGCGTGGTTCAAAAAACAAACTAGATTGATGAGATCAATATAACATTACAAAAAATTTAATATGAACAGTCCTAGTTAAATAGAAATACAATAACATCATAAGTTATAGAACTAGAGTAAGGCACTAAAGCAGCATTTTATTATATAACACATTAAATAGGATTAATGATTAATTTTCTAGCAAATGTTCAGAGACATCAAGCTTTTTGGTCGCGTCCTTCACCTGTAGAAACAACCGAGTTCTTTCGTTCGCCACTAGAGGGTATCTCATCATTTTCATACGTTGGGAGTTGTGCAGGGGCATACTCCCTTGGACACTAGAATAAGAAAAAATGACCAATTTAAATTTGAGACAGAAGATTCCCTATCAGTTGTACATAGGTTTTTAGTATTCAAAGGGCACTTGTTAACCTTTCTAGTTTGACCATTTCGAATATTAGCATAGCAGCTAAAGAATGGCTCTGAGTTTTTCAAGTACAAACTTTTAGCTCATAGCTCCGTCTTTTCTTAATCGATTTGAGATATAATTATAGTTTTGGACTCAGGAGATCAAACCCTTTCGATTGACGTATTTGATCACGCCCAAGATCTCGTAGATTAATTTACAGTTTGAATTTGAGGGTAGAAAACAGAATGGAATAACAATGTAATATTAATATATTATATTATTGACGTATAAATTGTTTAACAGCGTTAATTACGTACACCAGTATTTACATTTACAAAGATACTCGCAAACACTTGCAAAAAATACTGGCGTATAGATTGTTGGGAGCTTTAAGTATGTACCCCCAGTATTTTCACTGGTTGTGAGCATTTGGCTCAATAAAGCATGACAATAGTCTGTTCTCAATAAATATCTGTGCATTAGGGGATATATCATCTGCTCCTATGTCTATTTCTTTAACAGAAGCGTTACACACCACATTTATATTCACGTGTAATATTTCAACTTGAAATGATAGGCATAACATCGGATCCATTGCGTTATTACATAACTACTGCATAATGGGATCTGGTTACATAGATTTGAGTGAGTTACATACATTGTTATCTATAGTATTTTGTAATAAAGTATAAGCAAACAATATAAGGAAATGAATTAAAATAAAGTCATAACTTCAGACGTATTTCCTAACATTGTAAAGATCATTATTTTTCAGGCTGCTCATCTCAGTCACTTACCGTGCCACCCAGGTGCGGAGGAAGATCTTTTGGATCCAGGAACTCAGAAAAAGACGACTTCGTAAGAAATTTAATCCTTTCTCTAGCACTGCTGGGAAGCAGAGTTTTTATGATCTTCCAACAGGCTGTTGAATATTAATTATCAGATGATATTATTCAGTGTAGTGGATCATTATTTTAGTAGAAAACAAATAACACGGCGTAATATTATTGTAACATGGAAACGTATATTTATTTGCAAGACGTTTCGGGCAGAATGCCCTTTCTCAGGTGCATCAAAACCTCAAATACCAGCCATGACTCTGTAAATAAATATTAATATTACGCATGGGCTATTCATTTTATGTTATTTCCAACTACAGTGTCCTTTAATACTGCATCTATTAAGTAGAAAACACCTGGGTGCAAGTTGTTGTTGGCTGTACGTAGGGTTTATTTATCAAGTATAAAACACCTGAATGCAGCAGCGGTCATATTTAGTTGTAGGTCCTTGTGCGGGATAAATTTTGGGCCCTCTTCGGCCCCTTCCCAACACAAATATAATATACCAGAATATAATATGCTTGGTACCAGTTTGGATTAAGTCTTAATGGGCTCCCTAGAGCTAGTGGGCCCCTGTGCATTGCTCAGCTTGCACACTCTATATGGCCGCCACTGCCTGAGTACAAGTTATTTATTAAGTATACAACACTTGAATGTAAGTTGTTGTTGGTTGTACGTATTGATTCATACATTTGATTTAAACAACATAAATTTGTAAAATAATGTCCCCTGAAAGAATTTAATGTGTAGATTAACATTATATCGTTATAAAAGAGCAAACCGTAAATTACTGAAATTCATTTAGAAGGAACTCTTACAAAAATAAATTTCAACAAAATTACAGGATTATGGTGTACAGGTTGTAAGTAACATACTGAATTTTGTTGTACATTATTTGCACTTCAAACGATAAATATATATATTTTAAAAACAGAAGAGAAGTTTCCATAATTTTCTGTCATATGGATATTTATAGTTTTATTATTCCGAATAATAGGTTGTTTTAACCACGACGTGTGGCCATCTACCAACTTTATGGGGGCCAGTGATTCTTCAGTTACTTCCAATTAAAACTATTTTATTCTAAACTGAAATACAAAACACATCAACCAGAGAAAAGGCACAAATAAAATAAAAACACCTACTGTTCATTATCCATGGCATTTCCAACACATAAATGTTGCCTGAAAAATATAATAAAAGCAAATAAGAAAGTATAGCGAATTTGAGCTATATATAATCAATTTTGAAACGTTTGATTAGTATTCCTAATAAGCTGTTAGCAGTAACTCTTGAACTTGGATTGATAAATCCTTATAACTATGTTAATACTTGAGTCCAAAACTCTATCGAAAAACTGGAGAGATTTCAAAGGATCGTCTCTTCTTTTTTAGTTCGTAATAAATAGGCGAGACCTATCTTCAAAAGCATTTGAATTTCTAAATCATTTTTATTATATATTTACCAATGTTTAGTGATCTATTGTATGATCTAATTTCAAAATGCATTTTTTTTTATCAGGTTTCATTTTCTTATGATTTATTATACTTTTTTAAAGTTTTAATTTAAATGCTTTGTATTTTCAGATTGAAAAGCTTACTGTAGTGATAATATATTCAAAATGTACACGAAGTAAAATATAACTTTAAAAACTAATTTTCAAATGTATTTATGAATGTTTCACGGTTAAGTTTGAAAAATTCTGTTTGGAGTTAAATGTAGAAGATGAGATATGTTCTAATTCGTCTCTAATTATGAAGCACTTTTTAAAGTTTTTATAAAAATAGGTTAAAAAGTCTATTTGTGATATACCTCGATAATCAGGACACTTTTGGAAGTTAAGCAATCAATAACTTTAAGTAAATATCACCGGATGAATCTGAAAAACAACAACATGAAGCTTGTTTGTAGTTTAAGCACGAGCTACACAATGAGTTATCTGTACTCTGCTCACCACGGGTATCGAAACCCGGTTTCTAGCGTTGTAAGTCTGCAGACATACCGCTGTATCACTGGGGGAAAAACATGAAGCACTAAACATGTTTATTTCTTTCTCAATCTAATAAAAAATAAGATAAAAAGTTTAATAACACTTACCAATCAATGCAGGATAGTATGTTGTAAAAAGTGAGATTAAGTACACAGTGAAGTCTACATCCTGTAAAAAAATATATGTAATTTCAGAAAATAAAAGGCATATCATGTAATATAGAGACAGGAAACGTACAACTTGTAATATGCATAAAGCCAAAGTAATACATGCAGTGTTCAGAAAAGTAATAGTGAAACATTTTACTTTTACTAAAGTAAAAATGTAATGTTCAGAAAAGTAAAAATGAAACATGTAATGTTCAAAAAAGTAAAAATGAAACATGCAATGTTCAAAAATGTAAAAATGAAACCTGAAGTGTTCAGAAAAACCTAAAGCGTTAAAGAAAGTAAAATTAAAACCATGTAATATTCAGAAAAGCAAAGCATGTAATGCTCAGAAAAATAAAGATATAACAGGTAACGTTCTGAAAGTATATGCAAAGCATGTAATAATGAGGCAGAAAAAGTTAACATGTAATGAGCAGAAAAAGAAATGTTTAAAAAAATGTTATGCTAAGAACAGAAAAGGCCAAAGAAATATCATTTGTTTGGGTTATTTCCGCAAAACTACACAAGGGTTATCTGCGCTGGCTGCCCCCAGTTTTGAACTGATAGACTAGAGCGAATTCAGTTAGTCAACAGCATCCACCGCTAATTCTTTGGATACCGTAATGGAAAAGTGGGATTTGACTGACACTCTGCTAACGCAACCAAGACTCGAAAGTGGAGAGGGCAATTTCTTTTCTTTTTGCGGCAGCGGGACGTGAACTATCGTCCCACGAATCCACAGTTCACTAGACAACACGCGACCCGGTAAAAAGGAAGTCGTGTATTTTTTAAAATTTATATCTGAAATAGAAATCTTGAAAACATTCTAACTGTTTTTGGCATACCACTTTTTATTTATTTTTCCACGAAAACTGATTGAAAATGCCAATAGAAGTCATTAAATAAAACGTCAATATTATATGTACCATAATTATATACCTACTCAGCCTCCTTCCCAATATATCTATTTTAAGATCTCTTATGTTTGTTATTATGCACATATGTAAATTATGACCAGTTCTATTTCTAGTTGTTTACCGTGAATGGCAAGGCTAGCAGTTAAGAGGGTTGGTAATTATGGTACACCCTGTACTTTTAACCTAAACTTCAGTAAAATCAACTTAAATTGATAATTACGGTAATGTGAATAAACACCATAAAAATGTTACATTTTGGTTATTGGTACAAATGATATTTCTGAAGAACACATAACGAGGTAGAATGTGCTTGTATTTATGTTAAAAAACCACAACAATAAACAAACGAAATAATAATAACACACGATATTTCGTGGTTGTTCTTTTTATTCCTATTCAAGCGTTTTATTTTCAATGCTGTTTGATAAGGTCATTGTGATAAAGAAAGGAAGAACCAGATTATGTTCTCATTAAACAATAAATTAAGTATGTTTGTAGTATAAATAATTTTCACAATGGATTAAAACACATATTAAAACCAACTCGGGACAATTATTTTTCTGACAGTGTAAAGGCGTTAGGGAAGAAACTGTAACGCACAAGCAGAAGTCAGCATTAAAGACTTTATAATGTTTTCTGAAAGTGTAAAAGAGTCAGGGAAGAAACTGTAATACACCAGCAGAAGTCAGCATTAAAAACTAACGTTTTCTAACAGTGTAAAGATGTCAGGGAAGAAGATGTAACACACCAGTAGAAGTCAGCATTAAATACTTTAATGTTTTCTGACAGTGTAAAGATGTCAGGGAAGAAGATGTAACACACCAGTAGAAGTCAGCATTAAAGACGTTAATGTTTTCTGACAGTGTAAAGGCTTTAGGGAAGTAGCTGTAACACACAAGCAGAAGTCAGCATTAAACACTAATGTTTTCTAACAGTGTACAGATGTCAGGGAAGAAGATGTAACACACCAGTAGAAGTTAGCATTAAAGACTAATGTTTTCTGACAGTGTAAAGGTTTTAGGGAAGTAGCTGTAACACACAAGCAGAAGTCAGCATTAAACACTAATGTTTTCTAACAGTGTACAGATGTCAGGGAAGAAGATGTAACACACCAGTAGAAGTCAGCATTAAAGATTTTAATGTTTTCTGACAGTGTAAAGGTGTCAGGAAAGAAACTGTAATACACCAGCAGAAGTCAGCATTAAAAACTAATGTTTTTTAACAGTGTAAAGATGTCAGGGAAGAAGATGTAACACACCAGTAGAAGTCAGCATTAAAGAGTAATGTTTTCTGACAGTGTAAAGATGTCAGGGAAGAAGATGTAACAAACCAGTAGAAGTCAGCATTAAAGACGTTAATATTTTCTGACAGTGCAAAGGTGTCAAGGAAGAAACTGTAATACACCAGCAGAAGTTAGCATTAAAGACTAATATTTTCTAACAGTGTAAAGATGTCAGGGAAGAAACTGTAATACACCAGCAGAAGTCAGCATTAAAGGATTAATGTTTTCTGATATTTAAAGATGTCAGGGAAGAAGATGTAACGTACACCAGTAGAAGTGAGCATTAAATACTCTAATGTTTTCTAACAGTGTAAAGATGTCAAGGAGGAAACTGTAATATACCAGCAGAAGTCAGAATTAAATACTCTAATGTTTTCTAACAGTGTAAAGATGTCAAGGAGGAAACTGTAATACACCAGCAGAAGTCAGCATTAAAGACTAATGTTTTCTAACAGTGTAAAGATGTCAGAGAAGAAACTGTAATACACCAGCAGAAGTCAGCATTAAAGACTAATGTTTTCTGATATTTAAAGATGTCAGGGAAGAAGATGTAACGTACACCAGTTGAGGTCAGTATTAAAGACTCTAATGTGATGCTGCAAATGTTACAGTGTTCTCAATTTCGTTCTAAAAGAGACGAACATAATGATTATTTGTTTATTGAGTAGCTTATACTTTATTTATTTTATTTTCATCTACTGTTGTAATACATTAAAATCTTTAGGTTATGAACTAAAATACACCTTACCATGTTAGCTAGTGAGGTGTTTGAGCAGTCCATAAGAACAGATACAGCTTCGCCTTTGCCTTCCTTGTCAACTTTTTCTACCCAATAAGCTACAATCTTTTTCCTTTCAGGCATGGTAACTGGGTCTTTTCTGTGGCAGTTTACTCTCAAAACCACTAAAACAATAATAGTTTCATTTTTAAACTTTAATACATGAAAATGTTTGTTCTGTAATGTCAGCAGCGTTATAACATAACAGCCAAGGCGAGAGTGGAATTTACTAAATGTAACGAGAATATATTCCAAATGATGATGGTAAAGTGAATACTGATGTGCACATATCAAGTTTATGACGTAGCTACTAAGCATATCCTTTATTTGTTCGAAATGTTTAAATGTTCTATGCACACCATGGATAAAAGTGCCGATATTAAACAAAGTAGGTACATTTTTAATACTGTTACGACAGCGGAAGTCACGTGACGCTGATGGCGCGTTTGGCACTGGTAGTGTGCGTGATGTTTTCCGAATTATCGAGGAAGTCCGAGTGTGATCGAGATGCCCTCTTCGTTAGTATATAAGCCTGGCAGAGAAAGCCAGTGGATATGTTAATGAAGAGAGAGCAGTAGTTACTTTGAGTTCCGTGTAATTTATGATTCTGCTAGTTTCGAGCTAGTGAGCCATAAAGTGTGTGTTTTGCACTCGTCGAGAGCGAAGTTATCGAGATTGTGAATCGCTGTGATTTATAGCGTTTATTATAAAAGTTAAGTTTAAAATGACGAGAAACGTACTGATTGTGGAACTACTGTGTACTAAAAGTTTGTATCGAGGAAGAATAAACTGGTTTAATCAAGAAAGGACTCGTATCGCTGAAGATCCTCAGAAAGAATTTCTATCAGAAACAAACAAATAAGCAGATACGCAACAATACTTAAGAAATCATTCTACGAAACGAAATATGCAATCACATACCAGTTGTCTATTCCCCATAATATCACCTATGTATGTGTATAACATAAAACTCGGAAAAACATTTGCAATACATTGTCTAAGCTTTGCGTTATATAGAATTTTCTGTATGGATTTGCCTTTCAATAAGTGATTTGCTTAATTATTATAAAATACAACTGGGTGTTGTAGAATAGTAAAGTGTACGTCAAGAAGAGCACTGATTCACTGGTAAAACGTCTGATAACATCTTTTGATGTAGACATTAGTACACAACTAATTAATATTGACAACTTTAACATTTGCATCTTAATAACAGCATTGTATGAGAGCTTTCGTTGTTTATCCAGTGGTGGTTAATTGTAAAAATATGTTCGGAGAGACGTCTAGACACGCTGTAACACATTCTAAGACATTTCTCAAACATCTAATTATTAAACTTGATTGAAGACTTCTGAAAGCTATATCTGCCTTACATGTTTCAAACTGCTAGCAACTCACGGTGACCATCGTGGTTATGTTACGATTTTCTTGTAAGATGCAAGTATAGATTTAATTACGATGAACATTACAGTTGTAGCAAGTGGGGATTAAGTTGAGGCAAACACTACATTTGAAACAAGTGGGTATTAAATTTGGTGTAAATATTACAATACTAGCAAGTGAGGGTAATTTGGGGTAAATATTATAGTTGAAGCAAGAGGGGATTAACTTGAGATAAATATTACAGTTGTAGCAAGAGAGGATTAAATTGACGCAAATATTACAGTTAAAGCAAGTGGGGATTAACTAAGGGTAAATATTATAGTTGAAGCAAATGAGGATTAACTTGAGGTAAATGTTACAGTTGTAGCAAATGGGTTTAACTTTGGAGTAAGTATTGTTGCGTATCTACTTGTTTATTAATTTCAGGTAGAAATTCTTTCCGAGAAACTTCAGCGATACAAGTCCTTTCTTGGTTAAACCAGTTTATTCTTCATCGATATAAACTTTTAGAACAAGGTAATTTCACAATCTCGATAATAAAACACTCACACTAGCTCGAAACAGAATCGTAAATAACCCAGAACTCTCTTCATTCAATCATCCCGCAGGCTTTCTCTGCCAGGCTTATATACTAAAAAAGAAGGCGTCTCGAACGCACTAGGAAATTCATGATCATTCGAAAACTTTCACGTACGCTACCAGCGCCAAACGCGCCAGCAGCGTCATGTGACTTCCGCTGTCGTAACAGTATTATAGTTGAAGCAAGTGGGGATTAAGTTGGAGTAAATATTACTTTTGAAGCATGCGATGATTAACTTGGGGTAAGCATTACAGTTGTGGCAAGTGGAGATTAACACAAAGTAAATATTAAAATTCAAGCAAGTGAGAATTAACTTCAGGCAAATATTACAGTTGAAGCAACAACGAATTAACTGGAGGCAAATGATTCTGTTGCACTGCTTTTAATAAACTGCAAGAGGATCAAGTTTAGGGAAAACTGCGATTTTAATGTGTATATGTAAGTTGCAGTTACAGATGTCACTCGAATGTTAGTATTATAAAACATCTAACTTACATAAAAGCCTGTGTATGTTACGTCACGTCACGCTTGATTTTTCGAAATGGGAGGAGTCATAAAAGCTAAAATGTATTTATCCAGACTAGTTCGTTACTGTCTGTCCATTACAATTTTAGTAAGGGGGTGCAAGGGGGCCGTGAGTGGGAGGGTGCTGTGAAACCTTGTAAGTGTAGTGAGCGTTAGTATAATAAGCTTAAAGCCAAGTGCATAAAATTTATCATGAAAGTAAACACATCGATTCGATCTTAAACATAAATCGTTTCTGAATTAAGCTATTTTCTGTTACCTCACCAAAATGTTTAATTATAAAAATAAAAACCTCTTTAATCAGCGGACACCCTAAATTAAGAAATCAACAAATATTTCTCCAGTTTTGTTGTCTACACATTCCATTTTATACTTTCAGTACATAGACTAACAACACTATTAAGTTATACTTTTGTTGCTAAGCAACATGACATAAAAGCCATTGTTGGAACGTAGTTTACCAAACTGCACTGACTTTTCTATAAATTAGAAGTTGGTAATCTAACTGATGTTTACCAATAATTATTCTAGGAATAAGTCACAAATTCATTTCATGAATGATCTTAATTTTGATTGGTTCTTTGTTGGTCAAGCTTCATTTCGCAAAAAAAATATTTATTTCAGTTAGCTATGAAAGGTAAGATTAGGGTATAATGTGGGGTGGGGGTAGTAGTATTTGCCCCGTCACTTTTGACGGGCTATACGCTAGCTCTGTACATAAAAGCGGGGTTTCTTTGTGATGGACATGATCGTCCATCACATGGGGGTGGTTGGTTATATTTTCTAAAATGCTTGTTTATAATTTTTTCTTCTGAGCAAGAGATAGCAAAATATACTTACATAATGTGTTTCCTTCTTTGTCTGTATTGTATGAGAAAACAGCTCCTACTTTCACAATATCAGGGTTTATATTGGTCTCGCTGAGGTCTATAAGGTATTAAATTAAAATAGTTTGTATTGAAATAAAACTATAAAACTGATTTTATATCGTACTAAATACAACATACTGGGTTTTCTTCAAATGAAAATCCCTTATTTAAGTTAATTTAAAGTTACTGGCATCTCTAATGCTTGTAATAAAATCTATTGAAAACAATGACAAACATTATTTCTGAACACATGCAATAAGTATAAAAAATAATACCAGTTGTGGAGCCTTGTTGTGAAACAAACATGAATCGTAGCCGACTAAACATTTATTTTCAGGAGATTTAAATTTACTAATAATTAAATGGTTTCGTTCTTAGATACTGCAAAACAAGCAAGCAAACAAGTAAAGACAATGTGAGACTGAAGAGTAAATGGAACAAATATGTCAAGACAACGTGAGGCTGAAGAGTAAATGGAACAAATCTGTCAAGACAACGTAAGACTGAAAAGTAAATAAAACAAATATGTCAAGACAACGTGAGACTGAAAAGTAAATGGAACAAATATGTCAAGACAACGTGAGACTGAAAGGTAAATGGAACAAATATGTCAAGACAACGTAGAACTGAAAGTAAATGGAACAAATATGTCAAGACAACGTAGACTGAAAGAGTAAATGGAACAAATATGTACAAGACAACGTGAGACTAGAAGAGTAAATGGAACAATATGTTAAGACAA